GGTTGGCGCTAAGCTGCTTGCTGGCTATGACGCCCTGGTGGCCCGCGTGGAATGAACCATGCACCTCCCTGCTCGCATGGGCACCAACCAGGCATGAATGAATTCTCGTGTACAGTAGTATGGGGCAACAGTTGCCGCCAAGGCCGGCAGGGAGCCCGAACGTCACATTCCAGGTGGCAGGGGACAGCGCCGGTGCAAAGGCGCGGCTCGGGCGACGGCTGGCCGCCGCCGGCCCGCTTCGCCCCGCCCCTCACTTTGCGGGGTCCTCGCTGCTGGCTTGGATAAGAAGGTCGTTTGTGGCCGCCACGTAGATGCCTGCAGGTGTGAGGGGGAGCGTGAGCGGCCGACGCCTTCGCATCAGCAACAAACAGCCGACGCTCCTGCACCCCTTCCCCGCAGCAGCAGGGGGCGCCCATAGTGATGGCTGCCGCCAGCAATCTGTAAGCAGGGACGCATACGGATTGTGTGCCCATCCCTACGCTGTGGTCCGCCGCAGCGGCGGCATGGCGCGACCCCTCACCCTGCAGGTCGCTGAACACGGCGAGGCCGAAGCGATCCGCCACCACCACCGTCTGAGATGACCCCGGGACCTCTGTCTCCGCGGCATTATTGAATTTGAGCGTGCCAGCGCTCTTGAAGAAGAAGCCCAGAGCGGCGGCATCCTCCTGCTCCGCTGCCTCCGCCTGCGCCTGGATTGGCGGCCCCATCGAATGGTCTGCGCGACACGTATCAGGGTACGCACTTAGAGCGCTGCCGTTTTCCTACTCCAGCTCCTCTATATGCTTGGTGGTGAAGAGGCAGCTGCGAGGCATTGCTGCATGATCTGCTGTAGATCGTACGAGATCGCTTGCTAGACGACCACGCACAGTTATTGAACCAAATCAAAACGGTATTACATTATATCATAAGGACCACGCAGTAGCTCTTCAACCCACGATCTGAAATTTATGAACCAGTTGATGACTCAACCACGGTTGGCGAATGCTTCGTGAGCGGACTGGCAGATGCTGAGCAGTCATCACGTATGTGGTGCTGCTGCGCCCCCTGCTCGCACGCCCCGCGGCAACGCAGCTGCCGCGATTCGACCAGCGCGCGGAGTAGCCAGTTGCAGTCACACCAGGCATCCCAGAAGGCGTGGCTTGCTGCCACACCCGCGACAGCTGCTCCTCAAGGCAGCGGGCGATGGCAGGCGTCATCGGGCCACGAACGCTTCTTGACATTTGCATTACATCAGTCGCTGCCGGCCTGCCTTCGCCGACCGTCCCCTTCAGCTGTGAGTCTGGTGCCTGGCGTGCCGTTTGCATCCCCGCAACCTGCTCCGCTTCACCGGCACTTCGTTTGTCCCCAACTCCTTGCTTTACACACCAGGCTCTCACACATATTTCATACCTCCATACCTGCGCCTTGCTGCTTTGTGCAACCTCTCAAGGCGACGCCGTGTTGGAGCCTGCCCTCATCCATGCCATCATATCAGAATTTGAGCGGCTGTTCGGCCCCCTGGACGGCGGCCGCGGTGCCCTCATGCCACCCTCAGCGCCCCCTGGGGGCCCCTGGGGGCCCTACCGCCCGTCACCGCTCCAACCGCTGCCCCCATCAGCGCTGCACGGCCCGCATCCTGCACATTACTCATGGGCGCCATTCGAGCCGCCCAGCCAGGGCAGGTGGATCGCACTCAGCAAGCTTGCATCCTGTTGGTGAGCAGCTGCATAGGCTGGCGGTGCTGGATGCTGACCGTTACACGTCAAGCCACGCCTGCATTGCTCGGCCCCTGCTTCCCCACACATCCAGGTGATGTCATCGTATCGTCATCACCTTCGCCCCATCACCCACGCCGCACGCGCCTCACGCGTCGCCCGCTCCGCGCAGGCAGCCACAAGCGCTGCGCCTCGTGCTTGTCGCCGCGCATGGCGCGCGGCTGGATCGCCTTCCCCTGGTGTCGCGGCGACTGCTGCATCTTGAGCTGTCCGCGCCACTGCCTGCAGGCTTGGGCTGGGCGCCCTCCCTGCGCCAGCTGACGTGCCTGAGCCTCGCCGGATGCACGGAGGTGCACGCGGCAAGCTTGCTCCCCCTTCAGGCGCTGCCACAGGTGATGAGCGCGAGCGTGGGTGCAACCGGGGACCTGCCTGGCACACTGTCTGGCATCCAACCCGCCAAAACCTTCGATTCTCGTGCGCAGCGGGCGCCTGCTGCCCCACCAGGTTTGTCCCGCTGGTGGCGGATGCCGCTCACGTGGCCGAGTCGCTGACGTGGCGGGGCCCGCCTTGCTCCGCCTGCCCCCCGCAGCTCCGCGCCCTGTGCCTGCATGGCCTGGAACTCGGGGATGCCGTTGGGCCGCCCCTGGCGACGCTGACACAGGTGAGCAAAGCGTGTATCCACAGTGGTGGAACGGGAGCTCGCGTAGGAACAAACGGCATCCCAGCATGCCACATGCGCGTGCGCACAGCTGAAAGCACCCTTCATTCACACCTTGACCGTGTCGGGTCGCCTATCCCATCCGTGCCGCAGCTGACAGCTATTGACCTTTCCAGCACTGGCTGCGGTGACATCGCCCTCGAGTGCATCACGTATGGGCGACGCCTTGCTGCCTGGGCAGCTGCTCGTGGAACCTTGGCTGGCAGCAGCGCTTCTGGATGCACACAGGAAGTGGATGCTGCCACACCACCCAATGCATACGGCAGGTGTGGGAGCGCTCAGCCATGGACGCCTGCTCACCCCTTGGCGAACACGCGTGTCTACTTTCCTCGTCCCTGGATCAATTAGCCCCCTTTGCAAACGCGCACGCGGCACCACGCCCCCTCGAGCCGCCCCATGCACGCGTCCCCCCTCGCAGGACGTCCGTCGCCCGGTGGCACCTGTCCCGCACTCGCATCACCGCCGAAGGCTTGCAGCACCTGTGTGCGCTGCCGGCGCTGGATTTTGTGGATGTCAGGGGCACGGGCGTCGCCAGGGCCGCGCTGCTGCCGCTTGAAAAACGCTTCGGCCTGTGGCAGCCACAGGCCGCAGTCCTGGCGCGCAGCAATGCGCTCGCCGCTGCGGCAGTGGGAGGGGCGCTCTTCCCGTGTGCATGTGCGGCCGTGGGGGTCGCGCTGGCAGGCGGCGGCGCCGTGCGCGCGAGGGACAGCGCGGGCGATTGGCAGCTGCAGGGGGCCGCATTGGGCCAGGCGCGTGGGGGCGCGGGGGTGGTGCAAGCGGCGCGGCCAATGGTTGGCCGGGGACGGCGGGAGCAGCTGCTGCAGGGGGGTGCTGCGAGGCCAGAGGGCGTGATGCTTCGTGGGATTTTGGCCCTGCTGCATGCCTGATGCATCCACTGGTGATGCAGTGTCAAGAGCACATCAGTTGCTTTGTGTGTGCATATGTGTACATGTACGTGCGCGAGCGCGCATGCGCACGCGCACCCGTGTGTGTGTGTGTGTGTGTGTGTGAGTGAGGGAGAGAGAGGGGGGGAAGGGGCGTCTGTACAATTGAATCTGGGTGCGTGTGCCTGCAAGTAAGCATGGCACACCGTGGGTGTTTGTCTGTGTGTTTTTTCGTGCCTGTATGCCTGTCTGTAAGTGGATGGGTTTTGCAGTTGGTCGGAGCAATGCTGCCTGCTTTGTGTAAGAGCTTGGCCAGTGTCGATTCCGCAGGTGGTGATGTCAGCATGCCTGCGGACTGGCTGCCCGGCCAGTCAGGGCACTCCATGGAGATGCGCTACGCCATGCAGCGGCATCTTGGTGAGCCTCCTTGCAGGCCGCATTGGGTTTGAGCAAGTGCACGCCATCAGCACAAGCAGGCGACACAACTGCGTCGAGCAGCTTCCTTGGCAGCGCCACTGCCCTCGGCACCCTTGTGCTGCGACATGCAAATTGCATGGGCACATCAGTCCTGTTGCGTTTGCAAAGCGCAGACAGCGATCCTTCGCCACACGGGCGCGGGCAGATCAGTGCAGCGATGCAGTCCCTTCACAGCAAAGCAGTGGGCGGTCAGGCCCGCGTCAGCCGCGGTAGGCATTGTTATCCGGGTTTTTGTTCGCGCTGCCCGGCTAACGCGTTTCTGCAGACTGCGGGGAGCTGACCCAGCGGAACGGCTTTGCCTCACCTCCAGGCACCAAACGCTGCGTGCGGACGCCTGTGCTCGGCCGGAGCATCAATGTGTCGAGGAACAAGAAGGTATGTCACGGCTACCGGGGCGAATGGATCGCATTCCGCAGTGTCGAGACGAGCGCGCTCTCTCTCCCTCGCAGGTGGTTGTGTCCGCGGCCGCTGTCGCATCGGAGGCTAAGGGCAGCGTGGCGCAGAATGGCTCCACTCAGGCGCAGTTTACTGACCCGGCATCGAACCTGGAAATGTCAAAGGCGAGCACATGCTTGGGGGCGATCCCGGTGCCTCTGCTGGCAATGGGGTTGCTGCTGGCGACTCGAAGGAATCCGACGACGATCGTGCACTATGGGCGCTGCGTGCAGCAGGGCTTGCGGCGCGCGCCGTGCCGCGGCGCGTCCGCCGAGGCGAATATCGCAGCATCTTGCTCGGGCGCGCCGCGGACGCGCCCGCACCCACCAGCCACCATTCCCTGTCCCCCTGATCGGGCGCCTCCCTGCCCGATGACACCCCGCCGCCGCGGTGCCCGCGCTGCGCGCAGACCGTGCTGGGCATCATTCTCGGCGGCGGCGCGGGTTCCCGCCTGTACCCGCTGACTAAGAACCGCGCCAAGCCCGCGGTGCCCCTGGGCGCCAACTACCGCCTCATCGACATCCCCGTCAGCAACTGCGTCAACAGCAACGTCACCAAGATCTACACCCTCACGCAGTTCAACTCGGCGTCGCTCAACAGGCACCTGTCGCAGGCATACGTGAGCCGCCCTGGGGGCGGGTGGTGGTGGCCCCTCAGAAGGGCGGGGCAGCGCGGGCGGCCGCGGCGGCAGCTCCCGCCCCTGCGGCCAGCCCTGTGGCAGTGCATGGCGGCAGCGGCGGCGGCGGCGGCGGGGGGGGGCTCATGGCAGTGGCGCTGGTGGCCGCGCGGCGGCCTGCGGCGGGCCTTAGGGGCCCAATCTCCATAATATCTGCCAGGCCGTGCCATCCTTCAGCCTCCAGACATGGTCCAGCCTCTGGTCTCCCACACACTTTACACACATTCAAATACATCCACACTCACATATATATACACACAAATACACACACACATCTGATTACACACGAATCCGCCCCAGAACGGCACCGTGGGCGGCTACAACAACCGCGGCTTTGTGGAGGTCCTCGCGGCCAGCCAGTCCCCGGTGCGCAAGGAGTGGTTCCAGGGCACGGCCGACGCGGTGCGCCAGTACCTCTGGCTCTTCGAGGAGGCGGTGCGCGACGGCGTGGAGGACTTTTTGATCCTGTCTGGTGAGAGGGGGGGCGGCGGGCCGGTCCGCATGTGCGCCGGGACGGGCGCGGAAACGGGCGCGCGGCGCGAGGCGCTTCCGGTGAGGGCCCTGGTGAACCCCGGCTTCGCCTGAAATGGCCCCAGCGGGAGCAGCGGCGGCGGCGGCGGCGGTGGCGAGGCGGGACGCGCCCTGGTGTCGAACCTGCCCTCCACCCCCTCCCC